AACCATTCGTCTCGATCAGTACGTAGCATGGCCTCGTCGTATGTAGCTGGGGGAATGGCCATGTCATAGCCAGGATCGTTGGGATTCCGTTTACGGTCGCTACAGATGGTAATGTGCGCGTGTTCTTCTATCATGACGTTCGCGTAGGCTTCGGGGATGTCAATGTTCGGTTCTATATCTGCTAAATTCTCCTCTACCACCTTCTGACCCATTTCTCTCTGACCCATTTCTCCTTTCTCCGCTGGCACCCCCTCACTCGACAGTGAAGCGGGCTCAGCAGCTCGCGATGCGCGAGACTTGCGCAGTTGTGTGAGTCGCGCCTTGGTAACGGCGATCCCTTCGGCGAAGGCTTGTCCGGCTGGCGTCTTGACTGTCGCTCTGCCTGAACGACGAGGTACAATGGCTGAGACCTGCGGAGGGAGAGTGATTAGAGGAGGCACGGCAGAAGGGGGAAGGGAAGGTGGGGATGAAAGCACACAAGGCTGTGAGTCGTCCTCGTCGGAGTCAGAATCAGCCGAGGGTCGAATGCTAGGCAAATGTTCATCGAAGATAACATCCCTAGCCACGAAGAAAGTGCCATTAGCATCTCGCAATTGGTAGCCCTTGGTACCTTCTGGGTACCTGACGAACATGGCAGGACGGGAGTGTGGACCAAGCTTGGTCTGCAACTCGGAGGGAATTCGGGCGAAGCATCATGAGCCGAACACTCGGATATGAGAAAGATCCGGTTTACGCCCATTTGCCATTTCGAATGGTGTGATGTCAGATGGTAAGGCACGCGAAGCACTGCGATTCCACAAATAGCACGCTGTCAACGCAGCTTCCCCCCATAGATTCGCTGGAAGACCTGCTGCCTCCAACATGGCAAACAGTCGTCCCTCGATAGTACGAATGGCCCGTTTGGCCTTCCCATTCTGCTGGTGCGCATACGGCACTGAGAGTTGGCATTCTACGCCCAAGTCCACAAGTGCTTTAGTGAAGCCAACACTTAAGAACTCCCCTCCGTTATCTGAACGAAAAACCTTGACCGTACGTCCGGAGTGATTTTCCCAACGAGCCTTGATCAAACGCCATGCATCTAAGGCCTGATCCTTGGTGGCCAGAAGTTGAATATTCAGTAAGTTCGTGTGATCGTCGAGAAAGAGTATGAAGTGACATTTTCCATGGGGAGTGGCTATGGGGAACAGACCACACAAGTCCGCATGAACAAGATCCAGCATTTGTGCAGCGCGAGGTTCCTCCGAGGGGGGGTAGGGCTTGCGTGGGTGTTTTGCCATGATGCAGGGTTCACAGCGTTGGAGGGGGGCAGTAGAGGTGAACGTGACACCAGTAGCAATGTGTTCGAGTCGTTTGACGGCATCCCCGCCCGGGTGTCCCATACGGGCATGCCACAGGTCTAGTGACAAAGGAAGGTGAACGAAAGCGGAGATTTCTCGCAGGGGTTTGAAGTGTGCCGGTGAAGTGATGTCCGGACAGATGAATTTCAGGTCGACAAAGAATAAGTTCCCAGTCATGGGGACTTTGCCTAAGACCTCACCGTGACACTTCAACTGACAATGCACTGGTGAGTGCTCGAAGTTACAAGACCACTTCTTCTTCAACATGTGCCCCATGGAGAGTAGATTGATCATGGCGCCAGGCGCATGCAAACAGTCTGTGAAGGTGATTCTGAATGTTCGTCCACCCAATGTTAAGTCTGCTATGCAATTCCCTCGCCCAGAAGTTGCCAAACTGCCATGATTAGCAGTTTTGACCGTTAAGCGAGTGCTCTCAGTGTAAGTCCAGAAATAGCTATGATCAGCAATGAGATTCGAGGTAGTTCCTGAATCGAGTATAGTGGAGAGGGTCTGATGTGCGATGCAGGCGATGTCATCGAACTGAGGAAGGGATTCATGGTCTGATTCGAGATCCTCTATGAGGGCACATGTGAGGTTGCGTAACTCGTCAGCGACAGCACTGTTTGCGGTGGGAGTGTATGATGGAGGGTTGGAGGGAGGAGCCGTATTACTATCAGCGGCTGCAGCAACGTCCTGCTTCTTTGGCTTTCGATACCGGTTCCTGTTACCTCCTTGACCTTCCATGCCTCCACCGGTTTGGAAACAATGTTCTCGATCGTGCGTAAGTGAACGTGGAAGTCCGGTGCATAGAGGATTGTCACAGCTCACCCCTTTGGGGTTATACTTGTGAATTCGAACACCTGTCTTAGGGTTTGTCTTTCCGTCCGAGAATGACTTAAACGATGTGACGTTGGCATATTCGGATCCTGGACCATTTAACTTATGTTCTCCCCGCAGACGATTAGCCTCTTCAGAGAGGGACGTCAGTACTGTGGAGAAAGTCATCTTCGTAGTGGTAGCAGCAACTGAGGCTGTGGTGGAGGAAGTAGACACCACAGATGAAGGAGTGCTGTACAAACTCATTGTCATACGTTTGAAGATGAGCCAGTCTGGAGTGTGCGGGAGGCCGTGAAGAAGGAGGAATACTAGCTCGTCTTTGGTCACTACAATGGCCATCTCTGCGAATTGTCGTCTGGCATTTTCGAACGTGCTGATGTAGCGGGGAGCATCGTCAGGGTCCTTAAGTTTTTCAGCGAACAATTGTGCACGAAGCTCAAATTGAGACGTGACATCAAGCCGTCCAAAATGAGTCACCAAGGTGTTCCACTGTTCCCTCGCGGTCCAAGACTCGCTGAGCATACCTTGGACAACTGCAGAAAGCTTTCTGCATATGATGCCCTTAGCCTGCGCATCCTCCTTGATCCATTCAATCGCGCTTTGCTTTTCAGCGGCTGTGGGAGAACCAGCGACAGCTGGTGAAGGCATGACAAACACGAATTCTGCATAGTTATTGGGGTCGGTGCCGGAACTGCAATGGTTCCAGAGTCCGTCTCCTTGGAGGGCGAGAGTAACCACGCGACGCCAAGCAGGATAGTCATCAGCACCAGACAATTCGGTAATGAAGTCGTATTTCCCCATGGTGGATGTGGATGGATATGTTTATTCGCAGTGAGTGTTGGAGTTCGTACGTGAGCGGTCGGCTTCCTGGATCTGAGCTTGTTCAGAGCTCAGGGCTCATAACCTATAGGAAGCTAGACACACGGAGTAAGTCTCAGTGGACGGTGAAGCAACGCTATCATTAACTACCTAGACACACGGAGTAAGTCTAGAACAAGCGTTAACATTAACAAGATGATAAATGAGACAAGAATGTGATCATACCTCAGCGGACGGTGAAGCAACGCTGAGGTAGAGTGGAAATGGGGAAGGGATTAAATACAGGAATGTCAAGAAGTCCGAGATGGAGAGAAGCGAGTCCGAGACGGAAAGAAGCGACTGATACATGAGGGTGATATAAGATGTCGAAGGTGCTACGAGTCGATAAGAGTCAAGAAAGGAAATGAGAATTCATAGTATGTCCCGGAGGTTAATCCTCCGGGACTTGTACCGTGTGGGCGCACTCTTCTGTCCTCTTTCATCCTTATCGCCAATAACTATTTGGTCTTTAAATGATGAGACATGGCTCATCCAGCACATCTCCACACACCACACCAAAGGTGGAGAGTAGTGATGTGCATGGCCCAGCTTCAGGCCATGGGCCAGGCCAGAATAGGCCAGGCCAAGCCAGGCCAAAGATCATGGCCTGACCACGGCTTTGGCCTGGCCTGAGGTACTGAAAAGCCAAAGCCGGCGGCCCAGGCCACAGCTTTGCGTACTTAGTCAGCACGGTCACCAACCAATTTGCTTCTCGGAACTCCCCTTGTGGACTACGTCGCTATCATGTCAGAAGATCTGGTGAGTTGCAACATCTGCGCATCATTATAACTTACTTTTGTGTCATAGGTGTACTTGTTGTTAGCAACTCGTTTGCCTGTCAAGTGGCCAAGTCAACTGTGCCTTGCAACTCCCTCACAACTCTCTCGCCACATAAACCAACCATAAAGTGAGTGTTTTTTTCGGCGCTAGAGTCCAAATGACCCAGCATGTCGAAGGCCGAAGCATCCAAGATGGGTACAAGGCGAGAGTGATTCTGTGCGAGCACAACCAAAAGTGGGACAAGTGAGCAACACTTTGACATCGGCTCATGCTTGTCCATATTGCAAATCTTTATTTATCTGATCCGCTAATTTTTCATGTATCTATCCTAGTTTACAAAGTACTTGCTCGTTACAGTGTCATGCACCCCAATTGATATTTTTCACCACATTCTGTCCCTGCCTCTAATGGTCAGCACAATCCACACAGACAACGAAGATGAACTTCGTGTTGTTGCACGCCCGGTGCGCAAAATGAAACCTACAGCAGCACTTCTCCAGCATTCAGAGAAGGCAGCCCTCCCTTCCCAAACGAAAGCAATCAACGACTTCCGTGCTGCTGAAGCTGCAAAACTCGCCACTGGATGCCAACTAGTTGCTGCTGACCAAACCAAAATCTCTCCTGCTCCTGAGAACAGCAAAAGGGTACAGAGTGAAGGGAATTTTGACACTGACATCGAAAACAGTGATGACGAGCATGAAAATGCCCATACAAATCCCAAATGTGAGTTCCTTCGCATCTGTAAATGTATTCATTTTAATTTGAAAACAGAAAAACAAGTCCGTAAAGCCACTGTAACGGAAGATGGTGATGATGATTATGATGACGAGCGTGAAAATGCCCGTACAAATCCCAAATGTGAGTTCCTTTGCTTTTGTCAATGTATCCATTTTGTTCATTTGAAAACAGCAAAATGAGTCCATCAAGCCGCTGTAATGGATCAAGAAGATGTTGACGAGGACAGAATTCTTGCCGATATTGATGTCCAGCCAATTACTGACCCTGGTCCCTCATGAGAGGATAAGACTCATGACCTTGATAGATTTTTCGGTAAACCTTTTGAGTGCACCGGTGCTAATGGAATAGTGAAAAAGCATCGTAAATGCACCGTTTGCCCGTATGTCGTCTCACCTTTGTGTTGTCTTTATTATAAACCTTGAATGTTCTACTTGCAGGGGTCACTGTATCATTGTGAACGAGCCAACTACACTATGTCGACATGCTGATGCTCGATTTGCAGGGAAATATAGGAAATGGGCCAAGGCCAATTCATTCACATCGAAATTGCCTGGTGATGTTGCCGCTGAAAAAAAGAAGGTTGCGCAAGCACAGCAAACCATTGATGCGCATGTGACAGAGCGCAAGATTTCGGAATGGGTCATCCCTTACTCTGACCAGTTGTTTCGAAAAGCTGCAATTGAGTGGCTCATTGTGACGGACCAGGTATGTTAGTATCATAAACTACTACTACACTATGCTAATGATTATTCTCCACAAGCCAATTCAGGCTCTCGAACATCCAAGGTTCAAGGAGATGGTGGATGTTGCCTCCCATGCAACTCAAGGCGTCAAAATTCCAGGGCGAAAAGCCACACAAGCAGAGATCATGTGAATGTTCAAGAACCATCTAACTCGACTCAAGAAGAAACTTAATGTAAGTACAATCCTCGACACTATCTGATATTGACTAATCTGATATACTCAGAGCGCTTCTGTCAGTGGGGCTATCAATATCACATGCGATGCGTGGCAAGCAAGCAACACCGACAGATATTTTGCCGTGACTGGCCATTGGATCGAAGAAAACAATCCAGGACAGTGGGAATGCCAGAACGCATTGTTTGGATTTACCAAGGTGAACAACGCACACAATGGTAAACGCCTCAGGGTGCATTATTCAAGGTTCTTGATCGGATTGGTGTTGTGCAAAAGGTCAGTCAATCTATATGACAGCGCATCATTGTTCTGATATCTCTTTAGCTTGGCCACATCACATGTGATAATGCCTCGAACAACGGAACTACACTAGAAGAATTTGCACAGGTGTATGAAGTGAGATACTGTTAAGGTCGTACTCTCGTAGGATCGGATCTGAAGGACTTCGGCCTCAGCTCGTACGCTGTGCCCCTTTCCCAAGTACTGTCCCTTATTTCAAAGTACTAACGATAATGCGTCCGAAGGTCCGGACGGGTCTCGTAGTATATCCGGATGTCTTCCGGATATCGGAAACGTATATAAGACTAATCCGGACGTATCTGAACTAGAAACTAACAGAGTAAGACTACCCGAAGGTAGAGCTGAGGATATAGACTATCGGAATCTATCCGAAGTCTCGGAGGGTGACAAGAGTAAGAAGGACTCAAGTCCGGAGGACAGAAAGAGGACAAACTAAGATGATATTCGAACTGAGGTACTACAGGACATATACATGAGTTTATATACTATGAGGATAACGGAAGTATCAGTAAGCAAAGGTCCGAGGCTATGTACGAAGCATGTGCAAAGGTTATCAAACACGAGTTGGAAATGAGACATAGGTTAATGGATCAGTAATCATACCGGTAATAAGTATAACCGAAACACCGGGAAGAGGAAATACCGAATAGGCTGTGTTTAACGTTATATGAACAGGAAATGAATTAGAAAGCTTATCGTAAATCGGATCGGAAGCGGATCTATACATCGGACCGGATCGGATCTCAGGGTCCGAAGTCCGGAAGAGAAGCGTGAATATATGGGATATGACAGATACACCAAAACATTTCCGTGGTGCCAGCGAAGGATTAAGTATGTCATTGTCATTGTTTACTTAATGAGACCACCAAACCATGGTTTTCATAGTTGCTTAGCTCATGTTATCAACCTCACGACACAGACCTTCCTCAGCACATACAGTGAAGCCCCCCATTACAGCCCTCATGATCTGAAAGGTCATGAACCCGACACATCGCAACACATTGATGATCGGGATGAAATTGGGCTCATCCGCACTATTTGTGTCAAGGTATGTTAAAGTATCTACTATCTCCGTATCATATCTTGAACTCCTTCAGGAACGGTCATCCGCAAAACGAAAGGAACTCTACAGGAATGTTGTAGAGACTCATGCCTCTCATGGTGTGATATGGCACCTTTCACTAGGGAGTTCATTGCACGAACTTGCAGCACCACCCAGTGTGCTATCCACAGCTATTCCTATATGAGGCGCAGCTTTCCCGTGCAACGCGCACCATGCGTGCACCATTCCTGCGCTTCACGATGTACACGCGCGCGTGCGCGCATTCCCGTGCTTGAGCGCCCTATAGCACCAGCCATCCAGATGCATCCATCCACTGTCTACCATGTTCTCTAGTGTGTATATTTCTATTTCTCTCATTGCATATTATTCCATCTTTATTTTTATCATGGACTCTCACATATATATATTTTTACATACCTACTCGGTAGCGCTTCAGCTCCGCATGACTGTGCTTAGGCGCGCTATATAAGCGCCAGCAGTACATACCTTTCACTACTTACTTTTCCTACTTTTCACTTACTAGTTACTACCCACTTACTACTTAGCAGAACATAGTAGATCTCTATTTGTCTACACTTCGCATCTCTCTTCTCTTATATTGCATCATATTAGCACTTAAGTCTAGACTCTCTATCATTTCCGCATACGCGCGCGCGCTTTCCCACGCTTCGCGCTAATACGCGCGCATGTTCCCGCGCCTTGCGCGCACCTGCGCTTTCTCGCGCTTCGCTTCAGCGCGTACCTCTAGATCTTCACTGCACTCGCTTCCCCTTTAGGGTCAAATGCACTTGCCATCTCAAGTATCGCAGACTAGGCAACACTCGACCTACAACATTTTTTAGATACAGTTAGGAGCATCATTTGTTCCTTGCAGTATTGTTGTTTCTACAACGTTCAGACTAAGGCGGGAGTCTCTCGGCCCACTCAACTCTTGATCGACATGAAAGTTCGGTGGTCATCAACATTTATAATGCTTAACCGCGCTGAAACAAATAAGGATGTAAGTTTGGTCTCAATATCTACTATGTGCTCATTATATCTGAATGTTTGGTACAGCATGTTGATACATTTGTTTACAAGATGGGTCGACAGGAGCGGAATTTGACAAGACGCGCTAAGATTGATTTCCTACAGCTGTCGACCGCTGAATGGATGCATGTCAGACAATTTGCAGATCTTCTCTCATACGCTGATGTCGCTCAACAAGCATTTTTATCCAAAAAGGGCTCAACTTTACATCTTGCCATTCCAGCACTCAAAACCCTGCACAAGACTTGGTCTTCACGTGCTGAAAGAGCAAAATATGCTCGTTTTGCACCTGCACTCACAGCCACAACGGAGAAGGTGGATTAATATTACGAGAAGACGATGAATACACCAGCATATGTATTGGCCATGTGTGCGTGCAGATCTATAATTGAATTGTTTCGTGCTAACTTTGATCATAACTTACAGTGCTCAATCCAACTGCGAAAATGTCATATTTCAAGAAACAGTGGCCTGAACATCTCCACGATGATGTTCTTTCCTGTGCCGAGGGTGTGGTTAGTTATCTACCTTTATTTGTTTTCAATCTGATTCAAATTCACATCAAGTTCAAAGCACGTCATTCCGAGTTAAATGCAGCCATGTGGTCGTCATCGTCATCAGAGCCTACAACTAGGAAAAGCAAAGCAGGTGCTCTGAAGAAGCTCATTTGAGAAGTCCTTAGTGACTCTGATGATGACGACTCGAGTAACACTGCTATCCCATCTGTCAGAGACCCATTAAGACCATGGAGAGCCGAGTTCCTAAGTTATCTCGAGCCTATTGAGGCTGTTCCACCTGCTGGAATGAGTACAATTCAGTGGTGGGGTGTGAGTATATCATTGCTACTCTAAAACTTGTTACTGATGTTAATGTGGCTTAAGATCAATGCACCAAGGTACCCAACATGGGCATCACTCGCATGCAACTATCTCTCCATCATGACATCGTCTGTCTCAAGCGAGCAAGCATTTTCGCAAGGTGGAATCACGATCAGTAAACAACGGAATCGGCTCAGAGGTGATATAGTGGAAGCGCTCCAAAGTCTTAAATGCTCACTACGCAATGATCTTTTGTTTCATGAGGCTGGGCCATCATCACTTGTCGAAGAAGAATTCAATGACTCTGACACCAAAGCTGGTACTATATTGGAGAAGGAGGGTGATGTCGCAGATGACAAATGGGGTTGGGACACATTCATTTTGGATGACGAGAACAACAGTGATGATGATATGTCTGTATCTGAAATGTCAGATTACTAGCCTAGAGTAGTTTACAAATGTATTTTTCGACTTTTTGCTGCTATGAGCCGTGCTCAGGCCAAAGCCAAGCCGTGGCTTCAGCCTGGCTCTGGCTGACGGCCTGGCCTGAGATTTTAGAAATCCAAAGCCGCCTCAAGCCAGGCCAAAGCCGTGGCTTTCAGGCCAAGCTGGGCCAGCACATCACTAGTTGAGGCCCTCTCCACTGGAGAGGGCCTCAACTTCGACAAGACATTCTGGGCTGCCGCTTCTGCTGCAATGGCTGCCGATCAGTCAATGCAAGGCCGTGTCAAGACCTCAGAGGCATGCCAATCAAAGTGGTCTTGAGTAAGATCTTAGATCATGTGCGATTGTACTTACTGATGAGCCTTCAGATTCACGGGACTTTCAATGTTGTTGACAGGCTAGCAAATTATTCCAGGATCAATTTCAGTCTGGAGCATGGTGCTAACATCACGGAGGCATCTGAGTCTGTCTGGACAGACCTAGTGAAGGTATTTCATCATCGCTATGGCAACTTACACGCTGATATATTTTTGTGTTTAGAGTATCCCTCAAGCAAAGCAGTACAAGAACAAAGGCTGGCTGCATTATGATACCTTAAAGGACATTTTGCCGTCAAAGGGAAGAGGGGATATCGCGCACCATGCTACCATGTGGCCCGCAGCCACAGTCAGTGACCAAGGCGGCAGTACCGCCCCCATGACTAGTATAGCTACCCTGCCAAACTACGTAAGTACCAGTTCTAGTGAATTTAGAATCGCTGACTTGGAGTCTGGCAGAACTCGGAGAGAGCACTCGATGCTATCGAGCACGCCAACCCGAACATCCCACCGGTGCCAGACACACCAATCTCTCAAATCATATTCGATCCTGCACGCCAACCACCCTTGTTCGCCGGTACAAATATACCGGAGTCCCCCACTGCTAGCATGTCCTCTACGCCCACCACCTCAAGGGCACTGGGCAAACATAGAGCTGCTGATGGTGATGATAGCCCAAGGATCATCAGCCACCCTCCTGAATCCATGAAAACTGGTGTGAGCGGCACATCAGTTTCATCGAAATTGATGAAATTGCAGCGCCGCAGTGGCGTCTCTTTTCCAGAGGCATTTGACCACATGAGCACTGAAATTCACGGTCTTAGGTCAGCCTTTAACAGTGTGACAAGCGCAATGCAAGAACGCACCTCACACATGCAAGAACGCATGACACATGTCATTGCTCACACAGTGGATCCTATCCCGGTACGCAAGCAAAGGGCAATCATGCGTGTGCAGCAGGAGGAGGGTCTGACTGATTTGGAGATGGTAGCGGCTATGACGCACATTCAAAGTGATGTTGTGATTGCTGATACGTACCTTTCCATTCAGAAGGATGAGCTCCGGAAGTTGTTCTTATCGCAGTACTTCAATTAGTTTACGTTTACATGTCTCTTTCAAACTTTATTACTTGTCAATGTATCAGTGTGAAGACCGCTTGTTTGCAGAATCGACTTTGCATGAAAACAATGTAGCTTTGAGTCACTGATGGGACTGCATGTGCTTCTATACTGTGTAGCTACTGGCACAAAAACTGAATAAGTACTAGTACTGGACTACAAAACTTCTTGGATAATTGGAAAACCTCTGTGCTGTCGTTCTCTGTTATAATTGTCCCACATCTGATATGCAATTGTATCATGCCGTGTCTGCACTTGAACACGTGCTTCTTCATCAGGAGGACCTTCAGCAAGCAAACCAGTGTCATGTGCTCCTGGATCGAGATCAAGGTCGCGATAGTCTTGTAAGTCATTCGGATCATGAACATGGATGACATTGTGCACAAAGCACAATGCTGGAGGGATATGTGCCTGCACTTCCATTGCATAGTTGGGTGGAAGGAGGAGGATCTTGAAGTGGCTTTTGAGGACACCAAATATGTGCTCGATGACGTTGCGAAGCATAGCATGTCGTAAATTGAAGAGCTCTTTGTGGTTACAGGGCCTTTAAAACAAAGTAAGTACACAGTAGATAACCGTTAGCATGACATACACTAAATTCGTCTGGCCCCATTCAGCCAAATGGTAGCATATTCCATGATATGGGACCAGAAGCTCGTTGCAGGATGCAAATCCAGCATTGGCAAGGTAGTATTTTCCTGGAGGGATCCTGAGATCTGTCACGCGAGCAGCATGATAAACATGCGCATCTGCTGCTGATCCCTTCCAACCACTTAGCATGTAGAAAAAAAACATATTGAATGAGCACGTGGCAAGACAATTCTGCGTCAAAGTGCCTTTACGATTGCGAGCTCCATGACACTGCTCAGCCAATGGGTGACACATTATATGAGTGCCGTCAATAGCGCCAATGGCGTCAGCGAAGTACAGATAGAACTTGGGGTTTTGAGAGACTTCGGGGGGTATCGGGTTTGTGGCATCAGGTAGCCGAATGTATGTGGTATAGATAGGGGGGCATGAGAACGCAGTGAGAATGTGTTTGAAGTACCTTTGCAGACTTTCAGCAACAAGCGCACGTAGTATGATAGGAATGAATACATACTTTGATATTGTGTCATTAGAGCGCTGAAAGCGCTCACCAAGGTAGCAAACAGAAAGACCTGTGACGCATCCATAGAGAAAGATGGCCAATTGCTCCTCAAGGGTGACATGCTTCGAGTTTCGACATCCCGCAGTATGAAGTAGATTTAACAGAACATAGAAAACATGCCGGCGTACACCGAGTTCACATTGAATGCGGTCTGGGTGCCCAGCAAGAAGTTCGTTGACCCATGCGATTCCCGACAGAGCTGAGGTGTGATACGGTATCTTCTCAAGGTGGGCCTTTGAATATGTTTCAAAGGCCTGATTAGCTGCGTCAATGACAATCATAGAGACTGCTCGAGCTGCAGGATAGAACAACCCCTCCAGCAAATCCAACTCATCATCATCTTCCTCCATATTGACATCTATTAACTTCAATGTGTCGCCTGAATCAGATTCTGCATCATCCATGTCCGTTGGGTCTTGATCAGGGTTGCAGTACATTCTGCTGGATGGTGTACAACGACTTTATCGATACCTGTTGTCAGCGTGATGTGACGGATGCTCGTAACATGACAAGGTAATTTTGAATTTTGAATTTTGCGAAAATTCGCTGTCTGAACAGACTCTAAGTGTCACTGTGATTTGTAGCATGTGACTGACCACTACTTAATAGACATCCTGCCTGTTGCAGCTGGGCCTTCCGCTGGGCACCGGTAAAACTTGACCGGCTCCGACTTGATAACATGCATGCAGATCTAGGAGAAGGAGAAGTGTCCGAATCAGAGTCTTATTGGTCCAGTGAATTTGGTCTACTCATAGTGAGTGTGCAGCACCTTGTTTTGCGCAACCGATCCTGCTCTTGGTAGGTGCTGCACACTCACTATGAGTAGACCAAATTCACTGGACCAATAAGACTCTGATTCGGACACTTCTCCTTCTCCTAGATCTGCATGCATGTTATCAAGTCGGAGCCGGTCAAGTTTTACCGGTGCCCAGCGGAAGGCCCAGCTGCAACAGGCAGGATGTCTATTAAGTAGTGGTCAGTCACATGCTACAAATCACAGTGACACTTACCTCTGTAGTGTGCGGCTCCCAGGATGCTCCAGCTGTGTTGACACAGCCTAAGCTTCTATTACATAGGTGCACGAGATAGGCTAGCCTACCACAGCTAGAAGCTATAGTAGCAGCAGTGAAGCAATTCAATGGCAGGCGGAACACAAACAAAATAATGCTCCAGCTGTGGCAGCACAGCCTGAGCGTCTACCCGTGGAAATCCATTACGGCTTGGCCTCATGTACATCCTTATACCGATTAGCCGCATGACTCCCTGCTTTGACATACAACATCTTCTGAGTTCCGTGCCTTCTCCCGCAATCATATGACAGCAGTAGGATTCAGGCAGTACTAGTTCGGCTTCGCAATACGTGAATTTCCATGAAAGCGTGGAATGCCCTGCTCTGAGTCTTCAGCACCAGCCTTGCAGGTGGCAGTCTTCTCGCTTCGGCTGCTTCAATCAACATTCCACCCTACAACGTGCCTTGCTGTACAAATCTGATGTAACTGAATGAGGCTCATGATGGGTCGCTCTACTATATCCCGCGAGTCACTTGTGTCTCGACATTAGCTCTGCACGGTGGATGCCACATGTATGCTGTAATTCTTTCACTTATAATCCATGAAGACCTCCCATGGTCTGCAATATTTTCGTGACCTCCAGCACACATCTTATTCTCAACTGCTAGTTTGAATTTATCCTCCATTCGCATGTCAAGATTTGTCCCTGGACATTTCAGTGACTGCCCTCCATGCTCGGAAGAGGGCCTGAGCCACCCCAAATGCCCTCAGGACACAGGGCAGAAAAACCTTGTGCTCAGCGAAATCCTGCAAGTTTTTGTCATTAGTATGTGTCACATCTATTTCATTTAGCACATACCAATCATTTCCCAAAGCAATTCTGGCGACACTTTGTTTCGTCATTAATATCTTGTTTTGTTTCGCAACAGAATACGCGCCAGACCCACCCGATGATATCGTCCAAGCCTTAGGTGAGGAGCCAGGCCAACTAGAACAACCCCAGGATCTGGGAGACACAAACTTGGTTATCAGTAAAGTGCTACTACAAATCACTGCCAACAGTATGTGCTATCTACCTTCACTCAGTAGGCGATGCCTATGATTTTCCATGACAGATTCTTTGTTGGACCAGCTCCATGACACCCTCCCAGCCTCGGGCGAGGAGTCCAGCCACCCAGAACACACCCAAGACCCAGGACAGATACACTTCAGTGGGGTGCAACAAGTCGTCATCTCTTGTATGTGTTGTTTGTCTCTACTCAGTTCCTGGTGACAATGTTCCTCAAGCCATTCGCGCAACTGATCTCGCTCTTGGTCTCTGACAGATCCCTGCCGGCTTTCATGCGGTAGTCAAGGCTGACAGTGCTGAATATCAGACAAGTAATCAATCTGTACACGTAGACCAGGCTGTTGTCGAATGGCATGAGCACATTCTTCTGTAAGTGGTCTGTAACCTTGTCTGTCTTGCAGGTATTGACAAAGACTCTAGACCATGTGATCTATCTTCTAAAGTTCAGGTCAGCGTGTATGCCTCATTTGAATTGGATCCAATGGTCTGTCACGGAGAACTCCTCTGTACATTCGAGATCTCAGTCAGAGAATTACTGGATCGCAGCGAAAGGTCTCATCGTCAGTATTATCTATTGCAAATCACACCTCACAGATGCTAACAAGTATTACAGCCATAATGTTTCAGCCAAAGCAGGAGGACATCGTATCCGCTTGTACTTCACTGTTCATGATGGTGGAGCAGCGGCTTTCTGATCAAAATGACGGCGGTGTCCTTTGTTCCCTTACTACTGTGAGCGATCAATACAGGCTTGCAGTCTGATTCTGATCGCCATAACGTGTAGGCGACATCTCGTGATATGGATGGGTTAGCAGTAAGGACAGATTCTGGACATCGTCTTCTTGCACGATACCGCAGGATGCAGAATAGTACGGATCTGGACCAATCCATCAGCCACTTCGAATGGGCCTCAGACCTCTGCCCTGTGGATCATCCCTACCACCCTGCAACACTGTTCAATCTAGCCATGACAAAATTTATCAGTTGCCTAGCTAATGGAAGATACCTCGACCTCAACATACCTATCTCTCTTTTTCAAGACACACTTGATTTGCGTTCTGCTGGTCATTCAGACCGACCCATGACCCAACTCCATCTCGCCATTTCTCTACTCTCTCGCTTTGTGAGGCGGGGATTTCAAACAGATGCGGATATGGCCGAAGAGTTACTGAGCGATGTGCTGGATGCCTGCCACCCCGATAGTCACATTTACAGAGCAGCTTTGATTGCAATCGAAACATCCGCTATGCATAGAAGCATGGATGCAAATGATCTTCAGCAGGAGGGGCCTGCCACATCCATACTTCCATTGTCACCAAATCAACTTGCTCATCGAGCAGAGCGGTGTTTGCAGAGAGATGAACCACGTGACTTAGATGAAGTGATATCCCTTCATTGTGATGCACTGGTGTACTTCAAGACCGGACATGCTTACCGAGGGCAATTGCTAGGCAATCTGGCTGTAATGCTGGGCACTCGCTTCGAACGTTGAGGCAACAACAAAGACTTGGATCAGGCTATCGCACTTCAGAGGGAAGTGCTGGCCTTGCGCCCTGTCAGTCACACAGATCGGTCCAAGTCATTAAATAACCTCGCAAATCAACTCTCCTCCCGCTTTGACCGCCGAGGCGACAATGAAGACTTGGATGAAGCTATCGCACTTCAGAGGGAAGTGTTGGCCTTGAGCTCTGTCGGTCACACAGATCGGTCCTCGTCATTGAATAACCTTGCGAATCAACTCTCCTTCTGCTTTAAACACCGAGGCAATGACAAAGGTTAGATCATGCTATCGCACTTCACAGGGAAGTGCTGGCCTTGTGCCCTGTCGGTCACCCAGATCAGTCCTTGTCATTACGCAACCTCATGATTCTCCTCTCCTCCCGCTTTGACCACTGAGGCAGCTGTGATGACCTTGATGATTCACTAGAGAACCTATGCTGTGCATTGACTCTATTGATGCAACATGATCCTCATCGATTACTTGCCCATAAGATGCTAGCTGTGACCTACCTATCATTTCATCATTCAGCGCTTGATGGCACTGGTGGGGGCAAAGATACGGAGTCTCTGAATGGTGCCATGCATTATTTCAAGGAAGCAGTAAATGTTGTTTCTGGAGGCTTGCTATCCCGCCTGCGAACAAGTTTACTTTGGGTTCACCGTGCTGATCAACACAGACATCATACTCAACTAGAGGCTTATATGACTTCTATGCAACTTCTGGATGCTTACATGTCTAATGCGGCTGCAGTATCATCTCGTCACAATATTATAAAGGACTTCCCGAGTACACTTGCCGTCGATGCTGCATTGTGTGCTCTTTGTAGTGGTGATGTTTGTCGTGCTGTTGAGTTGTTGGAACAGGGCAGGACCATCATCTGGACCCAGATGACACGACTCTGCACCCCTCTTGACAGCCTCCAGACCCATGGTGATCATGCAGTGGCCTTAATGAAGAGGTTCAGAGATCTCAGCTCTCTCCTTGATAAACCTCCCGTGAGCCATGCAGAAGGGACTCCAATAGTCAATACGGAAGCAGAAGAAACCTGGTACAGACATCTAGTAAAGGAGTGGAATGAAGCTGTAGAAGAGATCTGGAAGATCGAGGGCTTCTCCCGCTTCCTCCTTCCCCCCTTATTCTCAGATCTTCAAAATGCAGCTCGTGAAGGGCCCATCATCATTCTTATCACAAGCGAGCTGTCATGTCATGCCATCATCATCCTGCACAAGCAACCTCCAACTGACATTCAGCTCCCTACCGATGTGTGGAAACTCGTTCAATTGGTGAACGCACTCCAAAAGGCGGTTCGCAAAGAGGCCGATCCTAATGGCAACCAAATGGCGCTGACAAAAGCTTTGAGAGAGTTGTGGGACAATGTCGTCTGTCCAGTGGTTGAGAATTTGGAAGGATTTGCAAAAAGAGGTTCTCGCATATGGTGGTGTCCGACGTCTCTATTCAATTTCTTGCCATTGCATGCTGCTGGCGAGTATAGGCCAAAGGGAAAGTCCGTTTCACAGCAGTACATATCTTCATACATGCCATCTCTCACTGCACTGATCAAGGCTTGCGCAAGTCATGTCAAGTCCCTGTCGGTTCTCTTCGCTGCCATTGGTCAGGATTGCCCAGCCGGTGCCGAATCCACTTTGTATGCTGTGGAGCCTGAGCTGGAATTGGTGCAGAGACTTTTGCCCCCTCCCCCAATTATTTTGTTCTCCAAGATAACCAGCATTGAGGCCACTAGATCAAGAGCACTGCACGCATTGCAAGACAATACATGGCTCCATCTCGCGTGTCACGGCACACAGAAAATTGTCAAACCCTTCAAGTCAGCCTTTCTCATGCGCGACAAGCCGCTTTCGCTCCTCGACATCACACAGATGGATCTGTCTCGGCATGAATTTGCATTTCTTTCTGCCTGTCAAACTGCAGTCAGTGTCCCTACAACACCAGACGAAGTGATATACCTAGCAGCTGGCCTGCAATTTGCAGGGGTCAACAGCATTGTGGGGACATTGTGGAAAGTTACCGACAACACCGTGCAGCACTTGGTGGAGGCATTCTACAAAAACATGCATGGGGATGGTCCAATGAATTCCAAACGAGCTGCCTGGGCTCTGCACCAAGCAGTCCAGTCGTTGGCTTGTGACAAGAACATTCCAATTCCCTTGGACCAGCGCATAGTGTTCATGCATATTGGCATATGATCCATTCCATGCGTCCTCCTACCTTGATTAAAGAATTCTTGAGACAATCTGACAGCTTCACATATAGTGTCCAGTCATGACCACACACAACCTGTTACTTGCCAAGGACTTCGATATTGCGGACTTTGAGACTGTATACCTACACGATATTCACATTCGATTTAGACTTCAATTTGTATTTTCCAGTTTGTTACCTTGGAGTTGAAGGTGATTGTTCCTGTGCACTGAAGTACTGATGATTCGTGGATAAGATGAAGTTGCACAACACTGATCTGACATGACACCTCAGCAAGACAGAGTTTACGATGGACAATTATCTGAGGGCTTTTTTTTTTTTAGTCAGATTTCTGTCCTATTGAGAGTTATACTCTATTCAGGACATTTCTATCTAGTCTCAGGGACCCCCAGTGTCCCCAACGCATCTCTGAGTTCGCGAATGCCCTGGTGTGGAGCATACTCTCACCAGTCCGCTGTTCCCGCCGGCCGTTTTAGATGCGCAACCCACCAAAGACGAGATGACTTTTAATTTACATGTGCGAGGTATGTGGCTAGAGGGTGTTGTTGAATGCACTCCCACCCATTATGCAGCACCAAAATTTGGTGCTTATGGCAAGGAGCCTAGTCCTAGCAGGGTAGTGAGACCACAGATGAACGAAAATACATAGTTTCGTTCGTTCTCTTTTCAGAATAAATGCTCTGGCCTGCTAGTCCCGGTCCGATCTTTTATCGCATCAAGTATCTTACACAAACCTTTCTAGATCACGTCATCAAGATGATCGGAGTTGTGCATGATTTTTTGACATCAAGAGCGTTAACAAAGACAGGTTATGTAATGAATTCTATTTTTGTAATCAAACTCGGACTATGGGAGACTCATCTTATGTAAAGAGGGACTGCTGAGTGTGCATCATGTTTTGCCTTCCTTTCTACTCAGGACATTTTTCACTTTTGCTGCAGTGTGTAGTGACTGCGGCCCTTGCATATCTTCGCATTCAATATTCAATGTAATTGTACACAATTCACCACTATTCTCTGTAACATCCATATCAATACCTATGCTGCTTTGAAAGCATCTCCCACAGCCTTGATGGCGTCGTCAGCCTGCTGCTTCCCAACTTTCAGCGCAGCATCCATCCCAAAAATCTGATGCAGCACTCCTGGGTAAACCTTTGCCTCTACCTTCACCCCAAGCGACTTTAACTTTTTGCCATATGTGAGTCCTTCATCCCGCAGAATATCAAGTTCACAGACACTAATGAACGCAGACGGGACCTTGGCAAGCAAAGCATCTGATGCAAAGATAGGCAAGTTGTCTGGTCCTGTCCAGGTCACAGGGTCAGGAAGGTACATTTTGCAGAACCACATCATCCGCCCTTCGCACAGCCAAATGGTATTCTAGCACTCTTTCCAAGACGGGTATCTCTCGTCAGTGACGAATGCCGTATTGTCAGTCACTACAAGCTGGTAAGAGACATGGACAAGTGCAGTACACTATGATTACCAGGCACAATCAACAGCTGGAAGGTGATGGGAATGGGAGGCATGAGTTCTTGCGCCTTGAGACATGTGATTGCAGCTAAATTGCCGCCACTGACAAAAGTTATGTTTCATCATGGATTCATATGGGATGGTACGGTACGCACCTGGATGACCCTCCACCCGCGATTTTGTTCACATTTGCATTGAACTCTGCCTTCCCGTTGTATTAGATGAATTTCAATGCATCAACCGTGTCCTCGACCACTGCAGAATATGGGTTCTCAGGAGCCAAGCGATAGTCCAGCATCACCGAAACACAGTTGTTCTCTTAAACACAATTAGTAAGCTCCAGTCCGACAACGATCTTCACTGTCCGACCTCACCTTTGCATTGGCGGGATATGAACAAGTTCAAAGTATCGATACTCCCAAGCGTCCATCCACCTTAAGATTCTTAGCTAAAATCTGTTGAATAATCATAGACTGTTACCTCCATGGATATATAACAACACCAGCCACCCTTCTGGAGGGGTTCCTTCAGGTATGAAAGCCCGAATCTTGCAGTTCTGCAGACTGATATCTTTGACAGCCCTGACTGTCCTGACAGGTGAGCCACCTGGGATGTAGGGCGCTTTCCTGATATGCGGATGCCAGGGGATCATGTGCTGGGGCACGCGGTGTGCTAGATGGGTATTATGAAATGCAACGTATTAAGGGTCGAGGCAGGGAAGAATGTCGGGGTGAATGATGGAGGGAAGGTCTGACATGGTGCTGGTGGGGCTCAGGATAATCAAGCAAGGTAGTTCCATAAAGCCAGTACTTGAATACCATAAAACAAATAAGTCAAGAGATAGACGTGTAAGCATGACACTTACATGGTGACTCTATGACACAACGACTCTATAACGCAACACATGACACCTTGTTGTGCGCCCTCTTGTGATCGACCACCTTATAGGGTGGGACATGGCATTGAATGGGGCGAAAAGATGAATTGAATATGGATTGCTGAGGAACTGACATTATGCGCTGTCCCTTGACTTTCCTCTTGCGCGCTGCCTAAGCAATCAATTTTTTTTTTTAATTATTATTCTTGTTTATTGTCCGGTGGGGTGGAGCCCTATAGTAGACAATACGTGCGCTATTTACCTGTCTATGTATGTACTTTGGAATTTGCGAGATTCTTTTCTATTGGTCCAGGCTAATGCGAGGACAGATGCGCCAACTGAAGGCGTGTGTGATGGTGTTACATTTGGTATGTTCTTCGTCAGTCTGCGTTCTCTTCTTTGTCTCTGGATTTGGGGGGGGTTACGTCTCTGAATACTTGTTCCAGCCGTCTTGTTCGTGCGATATATCGCAGTAGCGGTTTGGTGTAGTCTCTGTTGCTGAAAAGGTTTTGTAGTTGGAGGGGGCGATGTCCGAGTTCTTCCCTTAGGGCTGCGCATTGTCTCACGTACTTGGGGCAGACTAGAAGGTAGTGCTTTACGGTTTCTTCATGCGCGTTGCATTGTAGGCACCTTGCTGAGGGGGACTTTGAGATTCGATGGAGATGTTTGTTGAGAGGTATGTGGCCCGTATGGAGTTGGAATAAGAGAGAACTGTGGCGTCTGGGGAGTTCATCTATGAGGCTGGCGAAGTTTTTGGACGCTAAGCAATCATATGGATGATTGTCATCATACAGAGAAAATAAGAACTGGTGGTTGGTGCAAGTGTGCTTGGGCAGCTAGTTCCAGTATCGATTTAAAATTTTAATAAAGAAGCAGCAACACAGCATGACATTGTCTTCTTAGATAGATGATCTATAGATAAACAACTATAAAAACAAATATCTCCACGGTCAGCGATTCAGACAAATACCAATGACTGATAATGTGGTCGTTCGTGGGTGGCTAGTTGTATACTACTCAAGGTATGTTCAGCTAAGGATATTTCTGCAAGATCAGTAATACGATGGTCAATCTAATCTATGGACTTTGACAGGAAAACAAACAAACAATGGTCAGCCCGACAGTATGGCAATGACCAAAAGAATATACGGGATTCTTCCTCAAGTTCCCTTTCAACAACAGTGCTTCGTACCAACTATACTCCAAAGAAATGGTGCAGAATTACAATGATAAACCCCCTCAGCACAAAACAGGTAGAATCAAAGGTCAAGACTAATCAAATGCTTTATTGTAGAACTCTTAGCTCAATATTGAACCTGCTGTCAAGGAACTCTTCTTTGAGTATTCAAACAGACTCAGGAACAGACATCCTTGGGTTTACTACCAAGTCCCCTCTTCAACGGCTAAAGCCTAGCAGGCACAGAATATCTTGGCTCAGTATCGCTACTCAGATGAGTGAGGTCAAGCTTCACTATCAATTCCTAAAGTCTCCCCACTATGCTACTTCTGAGTCTTAGGTGGACATAGAGACAACACGAATATTTTGGGAATATATTTTTGGACAAAGAGCACCAAAGGTCAGTGAAAGTAAAAAGAAAAAGAAAAAAGAAAATGGAATATAACTGTGGCTGTACCTTGCTTGCTGGTTGTTGCACACAGTGAGCTCACAGCTGGTTGTTTAGTATGATGAGCTTGCAGTATTATTGTTTCTTGAGAATGTTCCTCTCAGTCTTGAAACAGTTCTTGACACTGGTACTGACACTTATCACACCTTACTCACAACTCAGTGTTGGATGGGCTGAAAAACACCCTACTATCTGCTGCTGTTCGCTTGTTATTATTTCAAAAACTGGGGTCATTATATACACAATAAATGTGGCTGTGCTACTAGTGTATTCAAGAGTCATCAAGAGTTATAATGAGTCATATGTGCAAGGTAGTGAGTCATAGTAAGTATTTAGAGTGAGTCATAGTGAGTCATTGGGTATTTTGCTAAGTCATGTGACCTGTCCAACCCCTGATGACAAATCCAGAAAGAGAGTAAGAAGTGTCACATGATATGAATCCTGTGTGTGGCTGTCTTTGCTTTGCTTTGTTTGAAGGGTGAGAATGACGCAAGCCTAGTATTTAGGGGTTTACTAATGTTTTTCCAGGACAACATATGTGGGAAAATTTTTTCACAGTCACCTGACATGTGTGGGATTTTGTCTGAGTCATCACCATGGCTGACTAAGCAAAACTCATCGCAGAATTAAATGTACTAAAATATTCAGGCTGCTGGCATACAGACTTGAATAAAAATAAAAATAAAAATAAAAGCAAAAAATATTCCCTTAGCCTCAGTCCAACTTCAGATAAAAGGGAAAAGGGTTTCATAGCGGTATTTCAGGGTATATGACTCATGAGAGAGTATTGGTCGTCCATGCACCAAACCGGTTTGGTGCAGGTCAACGTGATGGATGCAATTGCACCCGATGCCGGTGGTATCTCATGGTTGGAGTTAAAATCTTGTTTCTGCACTGCGCTGCACACATACCATTGACATTCGCAGCACTGTAGATTTCAGCAGTTGCGGTGAAATTCATTAGGTGAAATCAGTCTGAAACTTAGAGCATTACACACTGAAATTCAGATGCTGATATTACTGTTTTTGCTCTGAAATAATGATTCGAAAACTAGCAAGTCAAATTTATTGGCGTATGAATAGCTACTGATGGCTAGCATTTCGTGTTCGCCAATAAACAAGCTACTTCGGCAGCGAAGAAAACATACCTCATTCATGTCATTCCAAATACTGACATTATCAGTGCTCTCCGTCCAACTCCACTGACCACCAATAGCCTTCATCTTGAACAGTGAAGTTCAACCCAGAAAGCATAAAAAAAGTCAATCCATGAACTGAAGCCGGGCCAACACCATCCTTCGTATTCACCCTTGCCGCTGTAGATGAGGAATCTTGACTATACGTGAAAACACTTAAAACAAAAGGGGTGCTCAACAGCAAGACCGGGATATGAGACAATGACTCGACCCAAAGGACAACCACTGAGAGAAGTTCCTCGAAATAAAGTGGAGGGAAACTCTGTGAGCTAGGCGGGCGCTAATAGGCGCGAGAAGATAATGCGCGCGTGAGCGGGAGGTCCGAGAATGCGCGCGCGCGAAGCAAAGGCGCGCCTAAAGCGTTAGAGGCAAGATCTTACTGAGGAGTGAGTGCAAAGGTGGAGGATTGACAGGAGGATATGATCAGATAACAAGTGGGGAGGTGATCTATTCACTTTCCAGTACACAAAGATAAGGGAAAAGTAAGTACCAGAACCAAAGGAAACCCTTCTGTATTTAAGAATGGAGAAGGCGCGCTTCCGAGCGCGCTCCCGAACCGAGTAACCATATCAACTCTAATTATAACTAAGTTTAAATAAACTTTCCATAAGTAGCGCGGATGTCGGACCGAAGATTTTATTAGTTCAATGGATAAGATAGAAATAACGCACCAGCGAATCAGTAAGGACATGGGACGGATGGATGGACGATAGCGCGAAGACCTATGAGGAGGCGCGCGAAGCGCGCATAGCGCGTGCGTAGGTAAGGCGCGCCTAAGTGCGTGCGAGTTCGCGCGAGACTGGTCCTTAGGAGTAGAGCTGTAACATATAGGAATGTATGGTTAAAGGCCGGATATTCGTCATTGAGACGCGCGAGTCTCTACACCGCTCTTGGGTTTAATGAGGACTCCTAGTTCAGATGCGTGTTTGTATACCTTGAGTGTTTTAAGTGGGGGTCAACAATGACCACCATCTGTGATGTATAAGCGCAAGGTTCACAACAAAGGTCATAAGACAGAGCAAACAAAAAAAAAGCAGACCTTTCACTCAACAGCCTCTGCATCCCTCCTCATCTGCATCAGATCCAGGACTGAGAGAGGCACCATTCCTAATTGTGTGAAGCCGTCGGTGGGTGCTGCCTGGAAATTGGAATACGTCTAGGATCCTGGACTCAGATATCCAGTGCATTTGTGCACTACCCTTTTTAATGTGAGTGATATCAATCCACATTTTCGATGTAATTACATTGGAAACGACCACCGTCAACATTGCAGAAATGTGTGTGCATAAGCAGGATCGAGTCATAGAGTAAAGTTGGCAAGTCTGATAGATGGAGGAGGTCTGTGAATCTTGCAGTGGAGCCTGTTGTGTTTGGAAGAGAGAGGTTGTGGCATATTGTGGGATTCCAGGTGTGATTAAGGAAGGTTATGTCGAGGAAGACATATCCGGGGCCTGTGGGCATCACAATCTCAGTGTTGATATAGGACATACTTTGGCTTTTGTGTCCATCCATGTGGAAAAGGTTTCGTCCCAGAAGGCATTTTGGGTGCTGCATTAGACCATCCTGCGAGGTTGACTTTGAGGAATGAACTTCAATGTGTTCAGCTAGTTTAGAATCCTGCCTGGTTCTAAAATGCTCCATGTGCAGTAAGCCGCATCTGTTCAACGCGACCTGTTCCATGCCACTCCGGAAAAGTTTGGGTTGAAGTCGACAACAAGCTCCATATCTTTCTTCGGTTAGCCTTGGCTTTTATTTCCAGTCAGTCATGCAGAGAATATCATCACTCAACAAAGATTCTCCAATGAATACCCACTGAATGGCTTCGTTACACTGTTTCCTCAATTCGCCCTCCTCGTCCATTCGAACGCGCACAATGCCCTCTTCGTGTATAATAAGATCAAGCACGAATTTGACATTGGGATAGATGGACAAGTGAATGGCTTGTGGTGAACCCTGGTTGATGAGGGTTAAGTTGAGGGGTTTGATCAGGCACCATGATGATGGGAATTCTTGGGAGCATGCTGCAAGGGCATGTCCTCTGCAATAGAAACTGAATTCGTATTTTGAAGGATTGTGATTGTTTGAAGGCGAGATCTGTTGGGAGGAATGATGGTATCTGCAATCCAGATAATCAAGGTTACACCAACTTTGTCTAGTAACTAGTTTATCCCTAGCAGCATAGATAAACCATGGACAAATGAAAATACATAGTTTATTTGTTTGTTCTCTTCTCAGAATGAATGCTCTAGCCTGCTGTGTCCGAGGCATCATGACCAGCACGTGGGCAGCTTTTCTCACTGTCACTAGGCTGCCATGTCATTGCACAGGTGCTTGCGATATCTGAGAGTTCTGGCGAAGTTTCAGAAGGAGGAAACCAAATAGATTTTACTGTGGTGGTATGTAGAACAGATAAGAACACAAACAATAAATAAAACCGCCAACGGACCTGGGACGAGTAGTCATTATGCACATGGGAGGTCCACTCTTTTCATCACATCAAGTACCTTACACAAGCCTTGTATGTCATCAAACTCGGACTAGCTAAGAATTGCAGCTGAGTGTCATGGTGATAGTCGTAAGTGGGTGTATGCAATTTGATATCGAGAGCGTCGGGTTGATGAATTCTATTTTAATATTTTGTTCAAGAAGTCTTGCAAATTCCAACTCCAGCGATGATTGGATGGATGCTGCACACTCACCACATGTAGACCAAATTCACTGGACTGAAGAGACTCCGATTCGAACACTTCAACTCGTACCCCCTTCTCCTTCTCCTAGATCTACATACTCATGATGTTACTGACTCGGAGCTGGTCAAGTTTCAGCAACAGGCAGGATGTCTATTAAGTAGTGGTCAGTCACATGCTACAAATCACAGTGACGCTTACTTTCTTGAATGTTTGTAGTGTGTGGCTCCCGGGATGCTCAAGCTGTGGTGGCACAGCCTAAGCTTCCATTACATAGGTGCATGAGATAGGCCAGCCTACCACAGCCAGAGACTAGTAGCAGAAGTGAAGCAGTTCGATCTGATTGATGCCTGCAGGTAGAAAACAAACAAATTGATGCTCCAGCTATGGCAGCACAGCCTGAACTTCTCAACTTCTTCGCAGTTCTGTGCTTTCTCCCACATCATAGGAGTAGGATTCAGGCAGTACTGATGGCTGGCTTCGCAATATGTGAATTCTCATGAAAGGATGGAATGCCTTGCTCCGAGTCTTTAGCCTTGCAGGTGGCAGCCTTCTCGTTTCGGCTACTTTAATCGACATTGCACCTGTGCCTCTGCTGTACAAATCTAATGTAACTGAATGAGGCTCGTGATGGGTTGCTCGATATCCTGCGAGTCACTTACGCCTCAACATTAGTGCTGCACGGTGTGGATTACATGTGCATGCTGTGATTCTTTCAATTATCATCCATAAAGACCTCCCATAGTCTGCAGTATCTTTGTGACCTCCAGCACACATCTTATTCTCAACTGTTAGTTTGAATTTATCCTCCATTCACATGTCAAGATTCGTCCCTGGACATTTCAGTGACTGCCCTCCACGCTCGGAAGAGGGCCCGAGCCACCTAGAATGCCCCCAGGGCATAGGACAGAAAAACCTTGTACTCAGTGAAATGCTACAAGTTTTCGTCATTAGTATGTGTCACATCTATTTTCATTTAGCACATACCAATGATTTTCCAAAGCAATTCTGGCAACCCTTTGTTTCGTCATTAATATCTTGTTTTGTTTTGCAACAGACTCCACGCCAGACCCACCCGATGATACCGTCCAAGCCTTAGGTGGGGAGTCAGGCCAACCAGAACAACCCCAGGATCTGGGAGACACAAACTTGGTGATCAGTGAAATGCCACAAGTCGCCACCAACAGTATGTGCTATCTACCTTCACTCAGTAGGTGGTGCCTATGATTTTCCATGACAGATTTTTTGTCGGACCAGCTTCATGACACCCTCCCGGCCTCGGGCGAGGAGTCCAGCAACCCAGAACACACCCAGGACCTAGGACAGGTACACTTCAGTGGGGTGCGACAAGTTGTCATCACTTGTATGTGTTGTTTGTCTCCACTCAGCTTGTGTTGACAAATTCCCTCAAGCCATTCGTGCAACTGATATCGCTCTTGGTCTTTGACGGATCCCTGCTGGCTTTCATGCGGTGGTCAAGGCTAATGGTGCCAAATATCAGACAAGTAATCAATCTGTACACGTAGACCAGGCTTTCGTCGAATGGCATGAGCTGATTCTTCTGTAAGTTGTCCTTAAACTCATCTGTCGTGCAGGTATTGAGAAAGACTCTAGACCATGTGATCCATCTTCCAAAGTTCGGGTCAGCATGTATGCCTCATTTGAATTGGGTCCAATGGTTTGTCACGGAGAACTCCTTCGCACATTCGAGATCTGTGTCGCAGAATTACTGGATCGCAGCAAAAGGTCTCATCGTCAGTATTATTTATTGCAAATTAACCCCATGGATGCTAATGAGTATCACAGCCATAATGTTTCAACCAAAGCAGGAGGACATTGTATCTGCTTGCACTTCACTGTTCATGATGGTGGAACAGCAATTTCTGATGAAAACAACAGAGATGTTCTTTGTTCCCTTACTACCATGAGCAATCAATGCAGTCTTGCATTCTGATTCTGATCGCCATAATGTGTAGCTTACATCTCGCAATATGGATGGGTTAGCAGTAAGGACGGATGCCGGACATTGTCTTCTCGGATGATACTGCAGGACGCAGAACAGTACTGATCTAGACCAATCCATAAGCCATTTTGAACGGGCCTCAGATCTCTGCCCTGTGGATCATCCCTACTGCCCTGCAGCACTATTCAATCTAGCCAGGGCAAAGTTTATTAGTTGCCAAGCTAATGGAAGATACCTCGACCTTGACATACCCATCTCTCTTTTGCAGGACACACTTGATTTGCGTCCCACTGGACATCCAGACCGACCCACGACCTAACTACATCTTGCCAATTCTCTGCTCTCTCGCTTTGTGAAGCGAGGATTTCAAACAGATGCCGACACGGGTAAAGAGCTACTGAGCAATGTGTTTGATGTTTGTCATGCCAACAGCCACATTTACAGAGCAGCTTTGATTGCAATTGAAACATCTGCTGTGCATAGAAGCATGAATGCAAATGATCTTCAACAGGAGGGGCCTGCCACATCCATGCTTCCATTGTTGCTGAATCAACTTGCTCATCGAGCAGAGCGGTATTTGCAGAGAGATGAAATGTGTGACTTAGATGAAGTGATATCCCTTCATTATGATGCACTGGTGTACTACAAGACCAGACATGCTTACCGAGGGCCATTGCTAGGCAATCTGGCCACAATGCTGCACACTCACTTCGAGCATTGAGGCACTGTCAAAGACTTGGATGAGGCTATTGCACTTCACAGGGAAGCGCTGGTCTTGTTCCCGGTCGGTCACACAGATTGGTCCACGTCATTAAAAAACCTTGTGAATGTACTCACCTCCCGGTTTGACCACCAAGGGAATGATGAAGACATGGATCAGGCTATCACACTTGACAGGGAAGCACTTGCCTTGTGCCCAGTCGGTCACACAGATCGGTCCGGGTCATTAAATAACCTTGCGACTCGACTCTCCTCCCGCTTTCATCACTGAGGCAATGACGAAGACTTGGATCAGGCTATCACACTTCTCAGGGAGGCATTGGCCATGCATCCGGTCAGTCACAGAGATCAGCCCAAGTCATTAAATAACCTTGCAGCTCTCCTCTCCTCCCGGTTTGACCGCCGAGGCAATGATGAAGACTTGGATCAGGCTATCACACTTCTCAAGGAAGTGCTGGCCTTGCACCCGGTCGGTCACACAGATGGGTCCATGTCATCACATAACCTTGCAAAACAACTCTCCTCCTGCTTTCATCACCGAGGCAACGACAAAGACTTGGATGAGGCTATCGCACTTCACAGGGAAGCGCTGGCTTTGTTCCCAGTTGGTCACACAAATCGGTCCTTGTCATTAAATAGCCTCACGAATCAACTCTACTTCCGCTTTCAGCACCGAGGCAATGACGAAGACTTGGATCAGGCTATCGCACTGCACAGGGAAGCGCTGGCCTTGTGCCCTGTTGGTCACACAGATCGGTCCTTGTCATTAAATAACCTCGCAGCTCTCCTCTCCTCCCGCTTTAAGCACTGAAGCAATGACAAAGACTTGGATCAGGCTATCGCACTGCACAGGGAAGCGCTGACCTTGCACCCAGACAGTCACACAGATCGGTCCGTGTCATTACATAACCTAGCGACTCAACTCTCTTCCCGGTTTGACCGCCAAGGCAACGACGAAGACTTGGATCAGGCTATCGCACTTGACAGGGAAGCACTGGCCTTGCACCCTGTTGGTCACACAGATCGGCCCGGGTCATTACATAACCTCACAAATCGACTCTCCTCCCGGTTTGATCACCAAGGGAATGATGAAGACTTGGATCAGGCTATCGCACTTCACAGGGAAGCGCTTGCCTTGCGCCAAGTCAGCCACACAGATCGGTCCTTGTCGTTAAATAATCTTGCGAGGCAACTCTCTACCCGCTTTGAGCACCGACACAACAGAGAAGACCTGGTCGAGTCACGAGAGAAGCTAAGCTGTGCATTGACTTTGTTGACGCAATATGATTCTCGTCAATTAGTAGTGCATTGGTCGCTGGCTATGGTCCATCTTTCATTTCATCGTTCAGGCCTTGACAACACCGGTGTAGGTGAAGATACTGATAATCTCAATGCTGCCATGCATCATCTCAAGATAGCAGCAAATGTGGTCTCTGGCGGCTTGCTATCCCACCTGCAAGTGAGTCTACTCTGGGTTAGCTGTGCCCATCAACATAGACATGGTACTCAACTGGAGGCTTATGCAACTTCCATGCAACTTCTTGATGCTTACATGTCTAAGACAGCTTCAGTATTGTCTCGTCACAATATCATGAAGGACTTCCCAAATACACTTGCCATCAATGCTGCATCATGTGCTCTTCATAGTGGTGATGTGTGTTGCGCTGTGGAGTTGTTGGAACAAGGCAGGACCATCATCTGGACCCAGATGACATGACTCCGCACCCCTCTTGACAGCCTCCAGATTCATGGCGATCATGCAGTGGCCCTGATGAAGAGATTTAGAGGCCTCAGCTCCCTCCTCGATAAACCTCCTGCGATCTATTCAGAAGGAAACTCAAGTGTTGATGTAGAAGCAGAGGAAACCCGGTACAGATGTCTAGTGGAGGATTGGAACAGAACTGTAGATAAATACGGAAGATCGAGGGCTTCTCTCACTTCCTCCTTCCCCCCTTATTCTCCGATCTTCAAAATGTGGCTTGTGATGGGCCTATCATCCTGCTTATCGCAAGCCAGTCATGCCATGCCATTGTTATCCCATACAAGAAACCTCCAACTAGCATTCAACTCCCTACTGATTTGCTGAAACTCGCCAACTTGGTGCTCAGACTCCGGCGGGCAGTTGAAAAAGATGCCAATCTTAATGGGAAGCAAACAGCGCTGACAAAAGCTTTGAGAGAGTTGTGGGACATCGTCATCTGTCCAGTGGTCAATATTCTGGACGGATTTGCACAACAAGGTTCCAAAATATGGTGGTGCCTGACGTCTCTATTCAATTTCTTGCCATTGCATGCTGCTGGTGAGTATAGGCCAAAGGGAAAGTCCGTTTCACAGCAGTACATATCTTCATACACGCCATCTCTCACTGCACTGATTAAGGCTTGCACAAGTCATGTCAAGTCCCCGTCGATTCCCTTTGTTGCCATTGGTCAGGATTGCCCAGCCGGTGCCTCATTCACTCTGGATGCTGTAGAGCCTGAGCTGGAATTGGTGTGGAAACTTTTGCCCCCTCCCCCAACTGTTTCTTTCTCCAAGATAACCAGCGTCAATGCCACAAAATTGACAGCACTACACGCATTGCGAGACAACACTTGGCTCCATCTTGCATGCCACGGGACACAGAAATTTGATGAACCCTTCAAGTCGGCCTTTCTCATGCGCAACAAGCCGCTCTCGCTCCTCGACATCATGCAGATGGATCTGTCTCGGCATGAATTTGCATTTCTTTCTGCCTGTCAAACCGCAGTCGGTGACTTTAGTATGCCTGACTAAGTGATACACTTAGTGGCTGGCCTGCAATTTGCTGGGTTTAATAGCATCATGGGGACAATGTGGAAGGTCACAGACAGCACCGTGCAGCACTTGGTGGAGGCATTCTACAAAAACATGCGCGGGGATGGTCCAATGAATTCCAAACGAGCTGCCTGGGCTCTGCACCAAGCGGTCCAGTTGTTGGCTTGTGACAAAGATATTCTAATGACCTTGGACCAGTGCATAGTGTTCGTGCATATTGGTATATGATTCATTCCGTGCGTCCTCTAGGCTACTTTGTTTACAGCATTCTTGAGACAATCTGACGGCTTCCCATGCAGCATCCAGTCATGACCACACACAACCTGTTACTTGCCAAGGACTTCGATATTGAGGACTTTGAGACTGTATACCTACACGATATTCACATTTGATTTAGACCTCAATTTGTATTTTCCAGTTTGTTGCCTCAGAGTCGAAGGTGATCGTTCCTGCACACTGAAGCACTGATGGTTTGTGAATAAGATGAAGTTGCACAACACTGATCTGGCATGACATGCATGACACCTCATGTAGCAAGACATAATGTGTGATGGACGATCGTCTGAATTGCGTGATGGCGTCGAATGCACTACCACCCATCATACAACACCGAAATCCGGTGCTTATTCCAAGAAGCTTAACCCTAGCAGGGTAGATAGACCATAAACGAATGAAAATCATAGCTTTGTTCGTTCTCTTCAGAATAAATGCTCTGGCCTGCTGTGTCTGATGTGTTCACTGTTGATCTTGACATGTGGGCGGCTTTCCTCGCGGTCACTACGTCATTGTACCGGTCCCACAACACGCACTGGAAACACCCTAACTCATACCTGAGAGTCCTAGCGAAGTTTTAGAAGGAGGAACCAATATATACTTTGCTGTGGTGGTAGAATAGATACTAAGAATGAAACCACGAACAGATGAATAGTCATCATACATGGGAGTTCTGGTCCACTCTTTTCATCACATCAAGTACCATACGAGTCTTTCTTGAATATCTATGTCATCAAACTTGGACAAACTAAGATGATCAGAGTCACAGTGAAAGTCGCAAGTGTATGCATGGTATTTGATATCGAGCGATCGAGCATTTACAACGGAATTCTGTTTTAACACAAGTCTTCTAACTCGGACTACGGGAGACTAGGTGACTATCCATAGGCCAAAATAATGCGGAATAGAATATAATAGAATAAAAAATGCCATTTAAGGAAGTCGTGCTGCAATGCTGCAGTTCATTTACGTCGGATGTTCAAAACATATTTTTTTGAGGCTCTTACAAACTCTAAATCTGTAAGGGCCCCCCCCCCTTACAGAATATTCAGACGGATTATATCCGTTTTGGGTCACTAACGCCCCTGTGATCCACTGACTAATCTACAACGGAGGTCAGCACCTCACTTGTCTTGAGCTTAGTGACAATTGTTGCTTCATCACAATGTCTTCGAATATACGGATTTTAACTGCAGTCCAATACCTACGCTGCCTGGAGAAAATTGTACTGAAGTTTTAAGATTTATAACAGCCAAACTGCGCAATCACATATCTCTGCGACCGGCCAAGGGACAACTTGAGCAATGCCGACCCCAATCAACCTCTATCTGTCCAGTAACAAGGACTGTCCATCCTTTGAGGTTAGGTGTGTTTTTTTTTCTATTAAATGCTTTGATCCATGTGTGTATGCGCTAATGTATTACTGCAACCACCACAGGGTGAACTTTGCTATCTATCAACTTCAAGACACGCCTGTGCGTCTGACAACCAAAAATTTTGGGACTTTGGGGACTTATAAAAGCTTGGGGACAACAAGGTAAGCTTTATCTCAATTCAAATGTTACTACAATTACAATGTCTGACATTCCCCCTCCACAATCTATGATTCCCCCTCGTAGTAGCTCATCCTACCCAGAATTACGCTACAATGACGCCGGAAATGCCTATGCATGCAACAAAGATGGCACTTGGGTTTCTCACCCAGGAATTTGCAAGGTAAGTTTCATTTTTCTCATCTATGCTTTCAGATGCTCATTACTACTATAGTCTATCACTTCACATGCCTTTGGCCTCGAATATGGGGAGCCCCAACTGGGTTTTAGTTATAAGGTATGTCAATGGCACCATACTATGTATTTTCGCTCGACTAACTGTGTCATATACAGCCTCCTGGCACCTATGCACTCACACCGGCCAACTTACAGTCCAATTCGGACACTGCACCACCCTTACAACCATCCGGTTCCTGTGTACCTCTCTGCCAGGTGCTGACTAACCAAATGATTGATCCTGCGCTCCTCCCACTACCCGACTCTCCCAATCTTGACTTGAGTGATGCCATCACTATCACAGAGGCCCATGGCCACACTCTAGCAGCCAAAACAGCAGGCTCTCATCGCCAGGTCAAAGGCCCAAGGGGCAAAGGTAAGGCCAACCAAAACATTGCATCTGCTAACTCAAAAAAGTGTTCCCAAGAGGACGCTGAAGACGACGATGAAGTGCATGCTCGGCGAGGACGCCCTCAAGGATCTAACAACTACACCAGCTCAGACGTCAAAGTTCTTCTGGACATGGTCCGTCAGGAGCTTCCCCTTGGTCAACGTGGATGGCAGGCTGTTCACATCAAGTTTGGCCAATGGGCAAAGGCAAATGGCCAGCCTGAATGCAAAGTTACTTCGCTCAAGACGAAGTTCAAGCAGGTAAGATTTGAAGTGTCATACTATGACTGTAAGACGGCTCACTCATTGAACTACAGCTGGTGAAGACCATGAAGCCAACAGGAGATGGTGTCTGCCCTCCAGAGGTTACATGTGCACATCGCATTGATCAACTTATCAACGAGCGTGCGGGCATGCATGACCTGGACGACATGGATTTTGATGACATCGAAGACGACGACGGCAATCACTCTGTTGTCTCCGATCAGTTTCAGGACAAGTTAGACCATACCTCCCCCCCTAATTCAGCACACCGCTCTTGCATGCTCCACTGCTCGCACCAAAGCCCCCATTCCACATCGCAACGCTCGAGGAGCTGCCGCTACAGATCTCCTCACTCGCCTCTCTGGTGCTTTGGACCCAGCTGCCCAGCGCGACCGTGATGAAGATCGTGCTAATCGCAGCTTCGCTACTGTGCAGCTGCTGACCCAAAGCCAGCAGCTCCAAGACTCAAATGCCAATGTCAAAAACTTACAGGGACAGCTCTTTGGTTTGCGCAATCGTTTGTATGACGCCGAACACGAACACGATCGTGCTCAGCTTCACATCAAGATGATTGAGATGACTGGATCCACACACTGTCGGCGTATCCGGATGCCCAAATGCAAGAACTTACAGCAGGAATGGTACCCTGAGGGTGGGGGATCTGTTAGGTGGATCACAGACGAGGGTGAAAGTACCACATCCGAGGTCCCTGAGGCTCCCAAGCCTCCCCGCCTTCGAAGAGTTGGGCCATCTGGACGTCGCAAGTATTCTGATCGCCCATACTTTGAGGACTTGGCTGATGAACTGCCCAAGCCCATTCAAAAGGAAGGGTCACAAGAGATTTGAAGGAAGGGTTGCAAGAGATTTGATTGTACAATACGATTTATGTAGTTTCCCAGTGTGTTTAGGGTACCAATGTACCATTTGAAAAATTGACTGTCCTCTCATCTGTCCTCTTGTCCCTCTCATATGAGACAGGCAACACGCAGCAACACTAAATCAATTTTCGATCCTCGATATGAGATGGGGAACATGCAGCAGTACTAGATCAATTTTGAATCTTTGATATGAGACGGGGAACATGCAGCAGTACTAGATCAATTTTGAATCTTTGATATGAGACGGGGAACATGCAGCAGTACTAGATCAATTTTCGATACTCAAAATGAGACGGGGAACATGCAGCAGTACTAGATCACTGTTCTATCCTATGTATGAGATGGGCAACATGCAGCAGTACTAGACAATCATATCTACTGGTATTCCAAGGTGACATGGAAGCCCAAAACTCGATCTTTCTTCCTCTGGTCCGAAAATAGCATGTTCTCAAAGTCTCGCCACACATCCATATCATCCTCTGTAGCCTGCCAAAGCTTCGTGTACATGGTCCGTATCTGATTGATTCCAACGTGGATGGCACGGAGATTGTGCAGCCGAAGACATATTTCGATGAGATTGCTGTGAGCTTCTTCATTAGCAATATTGACTGGTAGACATAACCTTCCAAAGGCGCCTTGAATGGCATGCATACCCCATTCTGCTGTTTGACGGTAAGAAAGTAGTTCACAGTTAAATGCCATTTGTTCCGCTATCTCAGCAACTGAGCCACGTAAAACCTGGCCATGTTTCAGAGGTGCATGAATGCGCCCATTAATGGAGGATGTTCCATGAGGGAAGGCGGTATCTGCGACAATGTAATAGTCGGGAGGCGTGTGGAGTTGAAGTTGAGTATAGATGCAGGATGCGAGGCGAGAATCATGCCAGCTACCAGGCGCATTGGTCCTTGCCGCAATCACGATGCCTTTGTGAATATAAAATTAAGTACAAACTATAGCAGAAGATGAGAAAACATACCTTCAGCCAAAAACATTATGATGGTACTTATGAAGTGCTCAGAAAGCCACCCATTGTATGTAGCGTTTTTGATCTCATCATCCTCGGAAGTTTGCACAGGCAATTTGAGCCCATCGATGCTTCTGAAGGTGCCTTGCAGTCGTGGGTGACATGCGATCACGAGCGCACTACACCATTCAAAATCGGGTCCCCATGGCCATTGAATTCGGGCATCAGTCATAGAACGGAGAGTTTGTAAGAGTATGGGCAGTCCAGATGTGAGATAGCGGGAAACAGTGGTGGGAACCAAAGCGAATATCTGTTGGAGGCTAGTCTCCTGCATGGTGGAGTTGATCATTCTGGCTTTCATACAGTAGTTGCCATGGAGTATTGCAATGTGGATCAGGAAGTAGCTGAGCGCGACAAAGGTAAAGTCTTCTAGGGTTCTGTGTATTGATGTGATCGAGTCGAGCAAGCTCAGCGTCGGCAATGAGCATGGCTGCTAACATTGTGGTGTCTTCTTCGTCATCGAGAAGTGCCATCTCTTCAGTGTCGTTCACCAGAGCATACTGTAGCAGTACATCTTCCATCGGAGTTCTGACCAAGAAAACACAGATTAGTTTATTCCATATGCGTTACGGTTTAGTATTCTATTCAGATTATCTTTTGCAAATATGTTTTAAAGTCCGTTTTAATCTA